GGGGGGGGGGGTAAAATTGAAAAGTGAAAGCATCCCTCTGACATTGGAACCTTTACGAAATGAGAGTGAAAATTTGCAGACTACATATTATGTCTACAATCTACATGTTATACTCTCTCCGTCCCCAATTTGATTGCAAATTGCAGATTATAGAGTAAAATTTCTTACTTTTTAAAATCATTTTATTTACAAATGAGTATATCAATAAGATACTCCCCCCGTCCACAAATAAACTTCACGTTCACTATTCACATGGTCAAACTTTATTAACTTTGTTGGCCTATTTTCGTCACCCATTTGATAAAATAATTTAGTCATGTCACCTCTAGTTTTGTAGATCTTTTGATATATAGTTTTTAATATGTATTTTTTATTTTTAAATTTTACACCATTTTTCATATAAAATGATTTGAAAATAACTTCAGTCAAACATCATAACCCGCAACGGGGAAGTTTATTTGCGGCCGGGGTCGGATTTCGGGCTGACTGAGACGTTACATTACGAGAATTTTCTAGGCCCGAGCCCGGCACGACCCGTATAGCAGGCCAAACGATTGAAGCCCGATCCCGGCCCGCACGGATACCCACGGGCTTCGGGCCGGCCCGATCCGCATGACAAAAACTTCTAAATAATTAAAAAATGTTTTTTTAAAAAAAATAGAATAATGTATTAATATATTAGATATTTTATAAAAAAAACTATAATGAGTAATGAAAGAATAACTAATATATAAAATATGTTTTGTTTGATATTGCTACTACGTACGAATACAAATTATTATTTATTGGAATGCCATTATTAATGTGTGATATGTAGTAAAGAATATAGAATAATAATCATGTATTTGTTGAATTAATAATTTGCTTTTTTCTCCATAGAAGTATGTATGTGTGTTCATAATAATTTAAAATAATATTGTTCTTTTTATTATTATTAACATGAATGTTATTATGATTTTATTATAATTGTATTAATAAAAATATTTAAGTTCATTCGGGCTAGGCCAGCCCGTGGGCTTGAGCATAAAACCCGAGCAGAGTCCTAAAATATTCCAGCCGTCATTCATAAGATCCAAGCTTTGCTCGTACTTTAAAATGTCAAGCTCAACCTTTCTATTTTGCGGACAGGTCGGATAACTAAGCCTGTGATCGGGTCTAATTATTTTATTTATGAGGATTAATCAAATCTAGTCTATTAGATAAAATAAGGGATTAACATGAGGACTCTTTGTCATCAAGAGGAGGCCAATCTCCACACTCTTTTCTCTCTCATAGATTTTCTCCCTTAGAAATACTCTCGAACCATTTGAACCAGATTCGTGTACCCCGTACAACAATCGATATAATTAAAATCTCTTGTTGGCAAGATACCATAAAAAAGGCGTGAAGATTGTTCTTGAAAAGATTCAAAATAGAGATTCTTTAGCTTTGCAAATGTTGCCAGAATCTCACCATCGGACTTATTTTTTGGAACATCCATTATTGACTATAAGCTCTTTAGATACAGAAGCTACGCGCTAGTGACCAAGTAAGATCATACCCTCGAATGAATAGAGAATCCATGCTCTGTAATTTTCCTATTTTTCGGCGAAAGCTCTCTATAAGTCCATAATAAGCCATATTGAGGTTTGTGAGTTAAGACAAATTCTCTATTTCTGGCGATAAACCAGAAAGCGTTGAAGTAAACAATATAGAGCTCATTAAATTTTGTCAACCTTTCGATATCGAAAGATATTGTGCCACTCAACTAGTTCCCTAAAACCTCAAGATACTCGAGATTCATGAGCATCTCGTATTTTGGAAGAAAATTACTGCTTTCACCCGATGGATTTAAACATGTCAAGGTGAAGGTGGCGAAGATGGGTCATTTGGTAGATTTCCGGTGGATTTTGTTGGGATTCCGTCCCACATTGGGTAATTACAATGAACATCACCCCCATATAAAGAAATGTAAAGTACTAGGCTTAAGATTTTAGTTAGAAGGTGAAATTAGACTATAAAAAAAATTGGTCAGGTCTCACTGGACACTCCACCCATTGCACTAGGACCATCAAAATTTAAATATGGTATCGGAGCCAAATTTGGATCGAGTTCATTTCATCTTGGCATTCACCGAGCTAAGTATAAAAAAATTAAGATGCTAGACACATTCATTCATCCAATAGTAATAACTAGATCAGGCCAGTTACCACTTATGAAGGGTGCACTACACATTGATTCAAGCTTTTGGTTAGAAAGTGGATCCAAACTTTATGACAAATTAGTTAAATTTCACACGACACTTCATCTAGTTTATTGATATCATTTAGCCCACCGAAGTGTATGAAATTTGTCTTAACTCACCCACCTCGATGCTCCTTGTTATGGACTTGGTAGAGAGCTGAGACTTTTCATAGCCGGTGGGTGTTGCGCAGTTGACAAGACAAGGAGTGTCAATGATGTAAGACTCAAAATTGATTCCTGCCAACTGTGTTAAAAGACAATTGTGCTAAGCTTATGACATCTGCAAGTACCAGGTGCATGCTCCACTCTTAGCCACCAATCTACGATCAAAATCCAATTTACCCACTCTCAGTGACCGTCCGATCAGATTTGACTGTTTGAGGGGACCCTCGGGGATTTGGTTCATCTTTTTTTTGGCAGAGAGCTTCCATTGGAGATAGGAAAACTATTCATTCAAGTGAACGATCTGACCATGGTTAATAGATCTTTCAAAGTGAAATTATGTAGACCTGTTTGCCACACAAAATTTAAACTATGGATTTGAAATTGAGGTCAATAATTCCAATTTTGTTGTTTGGTAGCATAAAAATATGTGAATTGAAAATTGGTAGTGCCAAAAATGAATTAGGATTGAAGAATTCAATTCCACAAAACTTCAACTCCAAATTTAATTCCAATTTCATTAATTTCGTGTACCAAATGGACTCTAACGATTGAAAAGCTAAAGAATCTCCCTCTTCTCATTTTATATACGTACCTAAGTAGAGAATCTCCCTATTTACAATAGCAGCAGGAAAATTTTGCTGCCCAAACTTTTTACGCGTGAATAGAAAAAAAATTAATTAGTCCGTAACTTGCCCGATTAAATCGCCAAACCGTGCATATGCCTCTCTCTCTCTCTCTCTCTCTCTCCTAACTGTAGAGCACTCCTCCACTAAACATTATCAACCGGTAATTTTCAATCTCATCTTCCCCAGCATCTCCTCGATAGCATCTTCAGGGTCGATTCTTCTGATCATCTTCCTCTACAATTTTGTGGCTTTATTTGTAAAGTCAGGATCTCAATAGCTGATTTTCTTATTGCATCGCATCTCATCATCCCCCGCACCTCCTCCATAGCTTCCTTTCACGTCTTCAGGGTCAATTTGCTCTTTTGATCATCTTCCCAGGTATGCTCTACCGTGGCTTAATTTCTAGAGTCTGGAGAGAAATTCTCACCCCAAAACTACAAAAGTTTTTTGCAGATGTTTGGGTAGTTTGCAGTGTGCTCGCTGTTTTTTTTCTTCTTTTTAGTTTCATTGTATTGTTGTACCCTTTTTGTAAATGTTCCCTAAGGTCCGAGGAAGGTCCCATCCTTTTTCAGTTTGAAGACTCGCATAGGCAAAGAGGAATCACCTCATGTTCGGTGAAATGTCTCAATGAGTTATGTGATCAGAATTCCAATTTCTAATGCTACTATGATACTCTAGAAAGTTTCTAATTCACCCTAAGAGACCCTGCCAACCCGATGGTTCTAATCAAGCTTATTTGGTCCCAAACCATTCCCTTAGGTTTAGGTTCAGGTGAAATTTTTATCCATCTTTAAGTATTTCTAACTTTTTTTGCTATAACTTATTTCAATCAATTTATTAAAATACGGAGTAATAATTACTAAGAGTCTTTGGTTTTTCTACAAGAATTTTATGAATTATTTATTTTATGTCCATTTATTACCTTATGATTTTAGACAAATACTTTGTAACGATTCATCTCTTTTGGAGTCTCTCATTGTTTGTTACCATTGTAGCAAAAGATAGATCAATTCATGAGAGGCTTTGAAGGGAGGAAATAGATAGATCATCCCATTGTAGCAATTTACTAACTACTCCCTATATTCTCACATACAAAATAATTAGTATTTTTATGAATTGATAGGCATACTTTTATAAGTGTTAAAATTAGCATGAAAAAGTGAAATGTAAATAATAAGTAACTTAGAGGTTTGGAATGTTGTGTATAAAGCATTTTTTTTCAAAATCTATATTTTTAATGTTATGTTTTTACGTAGCAGTTTTGTTGGAAAATACTCTAAACAGTAAGTATTAGTATTATTTGAATCGATAGTAACATTGTCTCAAGTAGAGTTATTTATATTGAAATTAGTGAATGTTGTATTACTTTTATTATATATAATTTTTTTATTATATGAGTAATATTATAATCATGTCGAATTAAAATCTAAAAATGAGGTAGTTCAACTTTTACATGCTTGATGCTTCCTGTATGAATTCTCTTGGGCCTTACTTTCACTTATATTAATGCTATGATCTTTTGCAACCTTACTTTCATGGTTGACCACTTCGTTTACTCTTTTGGTTTGGAAGTCCACCATTAAAAATACTAGTCTTTTAGCCCGTGCTATGCACGGGTGGAATGAATTTTTAATTTTTGTTTGCTACAACATTTTTAAAAAATTGTATGTACCAAATAAAACATCAGCATTAAAAGTTAGAATAATTATAAAATATACTTCCTCCATCTCACAAAACTTTTCTCGTTTTGAATTTTAAATGATTTATTTTGATGTTGATCTTTCAAAAATATCCTTCGATAAGATGGTTAAAAGTAAGATGTGATAGGTAGATTAATAGTAAAAAATATGATGTGATAGACAGGTTAAGAATTGGTAAGGGTAAAAGTGAGTTTTTAAAAGTAATGAGAAAAGTTTTTTGGGACGGATGAAAAAAGAAAGGAGAAAATTTTTGTGGGACAGAGGAAATATAATATATGCTAATGAAAATTATACTATATATATTTGAAAATTAACATGTCAGAGTCTTATTTAAATTAGAACATTTTAAAAAATTAAGGTATATAACATTTTTGTGTGATGATACAAAAGACTATCAAAAACTAATATTTCTAACCCGACATTTACTCTCACTCACTAAATCATAATATTGGTGGAATTATTAAAAGCATTATATATATATTTGAAAATTAACATGTCAGACTCTTATTTAAATTAGAACATTTTAAAAAATTAAGGTATATAACATTTTTGTGTGATGATATAAAAGACTATCAAAAACATTTAAAACTAATATTTCCAACCCGACATTTACTCTCACTCACTAAATCATAATATTGGTGAATTATTAAGAGCATTAACCACTTCGTTGGAATCTATTTCCACAAAGATATGCATCCAATCTTTGTCCTTCATAAAGGTTCAAGCCTCATTTACATAAATTACCTCCACCTCTCTAGGTGTGAAACATCCTCTACCATTAAAGCCCCTTGATAATTTCAAACAATAAAATGAACCCCAACACTCTATCAGCCAACCCCGTTAAAGGACCAACATCAATCTTGATGTAGCCATTATACAACCATCATTGATGGGCAAAAAAATGATTCTCCCCATATTAGTTTAGATTATCGAATAAAATTGATTCATCTCCCCGCATTAATATTATTCTCTTTCCTCATATTGATTAAAAAAATATTATTTTTCTTTCCACAATTTAATTAAAAAATATATTGGTGATTTTATTATTATTCTCCTTGGATTAGTTATGATTCAAAGAATATGATTCTTTTATCCCGCGTCACTGCTTTAATTTTGAATAGCAAAATAAATATTATTCATGTCTCACATATTATTATGATTTTCCCCTCTCGCATTGATTAAAAAATATAGAAATGGTTCTTCTCTCCCCGCATAAGTCAAAAAATAAAATCTTAGATTAGCAATCCTATAATTCAAAAAATATAAATAAAAAATAATTAAAAAATCAATGATTCTATTCATTAGCATTAATTAAAGAAATTAATATAAAAAAACATTAGTGATTCAATGATTTTGAGTAGAAATTTACAAAAATATTTTATAGTTTTTTTGTGTTTTTTCTTTTTATATGAGTACAAAATTACTCCTTTTTTAATTTATTTGATTTAAATTTTTGATCATTTTGAAAATAGGCTAGTCGTTTGTGGTACTTTAATGCAGAGATCAAAATATATTTTTTTAAAATTTTATTTTATATCAATATTTAAAAAATAAAATCAAAACTAAATTCATTTAAGTGTGTCATAGAAATATGATTTTTTAGAGGTTATGAAAGTATCTATTTTAAAGGAAGGAAATTTTATTTATTCATTGATAGTTTTATTATAAATGTTGTGAAAAAATATAAAATTTTAAAAAAATGTATTCTAATGAAAGTGATAATCTATTTTTCATAATTAAATTTGCTTAATAATATTGAAATCATAAAGAATGTTAGTGTAAATATAGTATGTCTTGGTAACACATTTTTTTTTATCAATTTTTAACTATAATTTAATTAAAAATATCACATCATAATCCATAAGAGATGACTAATAATATTATATTTTTTTAATTTAAATCATAAATAGTCTAAGGACTATAAATTATAAATTTTATATAATAAAGTCAAATCATAAAATCAATTTAATCGAACTATGAAATTACACATATTATTTTTTCTATTCTAATATAATTATAGTTTAGTCATCTCTTATTCTATATATCTTTTGATGTAAATCTTAAAATATATTGTGTGTTTTAAATTATACACCAATATTTCAATGAATCAAATCAAAACTAACTTTGTTTTAACATATCATAAACAAAAATTTGTATCAAATTGATTTAGAAGTTAAAAACCATCTTATCTATTGGTTGAAAATTTTATTTAAAAGAAGAGAGTAAAAATTTTTGAATTGGGAATGTATATTATCATTAAAACAAATGTTTCATTTGCATACTTAAATTTATTCAAAGATTCCATACCAAAATATTGATTTTACATTTTTTTATATTTTTAATTAAGTGGCATATTAGACTATTAGCTGTCAAAATAAATATTAAAGTTATTTATTGGTGAAGAAAGCAATTTATTTATTAGGTGTCAATATTTAAATAAATTTAATCAAAAAACTAATTTCAAGTAAAGGTATAATAAATATTTATAAAATTTATTTATAGGTGAAGAGAGTATTTTATATTTTATTCTAAAAAATTGTTATAAATAAAGAGAAAAAATATAGAACTTAGAAAGAATATTATTATAAAAATGAATTTTTTTCCCCATATTTATTTTTAATCAAATATTTCTTACCAAACTTTTAATTTATATTTTCCATATGAAAAATTGTGTGACATATTAGGTGTTAGAAATGGCTACCTAAAAATAATTTTCTTTTCTTTTTATTCAGTTCATAATTTGGGTTGCATAAAAAAGCCACATAAATAATGGCACATGTCAGCTCTTAGTAATGGCACATGTTAGTTTCTAGCAATGCCACATGTCATCTCCTTAGAGCTTGGAGTCTCATTTATATATATTAAGGATTAAGGATTTCGATCTAACAAAGCATACTCTAAAGAATAAGTACTATTACAATATTGTACTCCCTCCGTCCCCCTGTATTTGTCCACTTTCATTTTTGCACACCATCCAATGCACTTCGTTAATCCATTTTATCTATATGTTTAGATGAATAATTCCAAAAGTCAAATGTGACCAAATACAGGGGGACGGAGGAAGTATATAGTTTGAATATTATTTTTTGGTAATTCCAAATAATAAATACGAGTATTATTTTTGACCGTGCGGGTTAAAATCTAGTGGGTTTTAACCAAAAACCTCTCAAATGTTTTTAAATGTTAGCAATAATGATTTCACAACAAGAGGAAAAAAAAAGAGACAAAGTGCGCAAAAAGTGCAAGTGGGATGTGCTCTCCAAGTTGGTTCTGGATGGAATTGGAAGTTGGAACGAATGAATGAATTAGTGCAGAAAAGCATAGACGGCGGTGGAGACGTAGAGAAGAAGGCCGGAGGTGACGAGAACAACCAGCGCCGCGACAGCACCCACCGCCGATCTGCTGCCGCAAGACAGCAACCCGAGGCGAATCTGGATCACGTCCACCATAGAGAGCATCAGGAACAGGCAGCCCATCACAGATCCGGCGGCGGAGCCCATCATCCCTCCCCTCAAAACCCTAGAATTCACATGGGCCCTGAACCCGTCGTCCGCGTCTCTGCTGTTGAGCAGATTGATCGCCAGCTTCAGGCCCTGCGCCACCAGGGAGGAGAAGAGGAAGAAGCTGAAAGAGACGACTTCGAAGACCAGAAGCTTCCTCACCACGTCGATCCCGGCGTCGCACGCCGATCTCTCCTCCAGGCTCCTCTGCCCCGGCACGGCGAGCGACAGGCCCACGAAGACCGCGATCGTGAACAGCGAGTTCACGTTCACCAGCCCGTCCAGCGCCGTCACGTGGACGCTGGTGGATCCCGGCGGCGCTCTTCTCGGCGCTTGCGGGGAAAAATGTCCGGATCTGTCGAAAAACGATTGACCCAAAGCTCGAGCTATTGAAAGCTGAAGAATTGAAGAAGAAAGGGAGGAGGGGGGAGTGAGAAGCATTACCGTTCCATGGCGACGGATTGAGCAAGTCAAAGGTGATGGGAGATTCTTGATATCCGTTGGATGATATATTTGGTCAGTGATTGAAGACGTTCAAAATGTGTAATTGGAAAAGGGGGAAGGAAGAGGCTTTTGTTGGTTGTGTTTGTGTTGGGAATAGGAATCATGGGAGGGAGGGAGGGAGTGAGAGGCAAGAAAACACTCACTTGCTTCACGTCGGCCTTGTTAAAAACTAGACTCGTACCCGTACGATGCACAGACTATTATTTGACATATAATTATTCAATGTTTTGAATAAAGAAAAATGTTACAAAGGAAAATATTCCCTCAGCGATGCACGGGGAGCATTTCATTATTATATTTATCATTAATTACAATTTATTTAAGAGTTTAATTAATAAGGAAAATATTCTCTCAACGTCACAAAATCAAAATTTTAAGGCCTTGACGATTTGTCACTCGAGAAAATGTAACGTATAACTGTTTATGACTAAAGACCTTTATTTTCAGTAGAAGACTAACATGCTTCAGGGATTGGCTTTGACTTTTATTTGTTGTCATAGCGTATGAGGTCATTATCGGAAATTGTTTTCTCTTAAATATTAAAAGAAATTCTCGAATCCGAAGGTGTAAGTGCAAGTCTTGGAATCACAAACTCCTTTCGAGCATGTTTTTTGTGCAACATGTCTTCAACTCCTCACCAACATTAAGGGCAGTCATGTAAATTCTCCATTCACTATCCACAGGTCTAAATTCTCCATTCACTATCCATGGCTCTAAATTCTCCATTCACTATCCACATGGCTAAACTTTTTTTATTTGATAAATTTTTATAATATGCTTTGATAAAATAATATTGTCATGTCAGTCTCTAGTTTTATAGATTTTTTTATGTGATTTTATTATATCTACTATTAAATTTTTAATTGAATAACTTTTGTCATATAAAATGATACTCCCTCCGTCCTATATTTAATTTCCCGGTTTGACCGGTACTCATTTTTAAGGAAGTGTAAAATTTACTCACACTTTCCATATATGCCCCTGCCTTTTGCACTTTCGTTCTACTCCGTTTAAAAATAAAGGGAAAAAAATAATTATCCTCCATCTCCATCCTTCTCCTCCACCATTAACATCACCATCAACTGGATTTTATCAAAAGCTTCACCTC